TTCTTTAATTTAAATTTCATTTCCCCCTTTTCCTTTTTTATTTATTGTTAAACCAAAGGTGATTTTTATTAGAAAAAATTTAAGTCTCATATTGATTAAAAATAAGACAAATAAAGAGTTTATAAATAGAAGATAATTTTCACCTTACAAACTAATTTTGTAAGGTGAGACTTGGATTTTTTTTCAATATCCTATCGCATCCAGTACTATTAGACTTAATACATTTTAAGTGGATCTAAATAGACATGGTACCGTCTTAGGATGTGAGTTATAAGTTTAACTCAATCTTATAAAATTGTCTTGTAGGACGAGGGTTATCATTTACTTATTAACTCTTATTTTATCTAATTTCTAATCGATGTGATGAAATTTGAGAAACCATATTGTATTGTGAATTTTTATTTAAATTTGTTGTTGATCTAGCAAATCCAAAAAGATTACGTTGTTAAGTTGGTTTAGTAGGGTCAAACTACTTAAACTTCTCATTTGTGTTGTAAGAAATCTCTAAATTGAAATGCGTAACAACACATTATTTTGTTGTATTGATAAGTTGTAAAGTTGATATGAGTTGATATGTGGCGTTGTTGCTTAAGTTGTTGTGTTGTATGCAAGATGTTTATAAGTTGTATGTTATGTTGTAAGTTGTAGTATTGTTGTGTTGTTTTAAGTTGGAAAACCTATACGAGTTAACGTTATATGGTGTGGTTTATATGTTAATGTTGATTGTATAATTTTACTTCACTTCTATACTTGTTATGTTGTGTGCTAACCGTAGGTACTTCACTATAGCATCAACATATCCAAGTACTCTTTGTATGTTAATCCTAGGTAGTTAAATTTATGTATTCTACTACTATAGTTGTTGAGTTGTAATTTGCCACGTTGTTACACATTCATTTTCTACCATAATACTACCTTGTTCCTTTTTACTTTGTCAGTTTTTTAGTAAAATTTTATTTTTATTTATTTGATATTTTTAAAGTTTAAGACCATATTAATTATTATTTTGTCAATTATGTCCTTATATCTAATCTAACCTAACTTTTAATTAATTTACACTTACAACTAACATGTATTTATTACATAACAAAATGAAAGCACTACAACAAAATTTATTATTACCGGCAATTATTTAACGACAATAAATTAATTCTCTATTTTATTATTTAATAAAAATATTAATGACTAATATATAATGGCTATTAAAAATGTATTTACATTACACAAAAATGTACTATTAATGATAATTATTTATTGAAAAAAACTTAAACCTCATATCAACTAGAAATAAGATAATTAAAGAGTATATAAGTGGATGATAACTCTCACCTTCCAAGTTTGTTTTGTAGGGTTGAGTTAGACATATAATTTACTATTCTAAGTTGGTATCACTTGAGGGGTTGTATTGAAAAAAATCCAAATCTCACATCGACTATTGATAAAATAATTAATTAGGAGATAAGACAATTAAAAGAATAAGAAAATTAAAGAATATATAAGTAAAAGACAACCCTCATCGTACAACTTATAAGTTTCACATCAACTAGAAATAAGGTAATTAAAGAGTATTATGAATCATTTTTTTTTAACTTTTAGTGGCAATAACAAAAGATTTTAAATGTCAGTAAAAAAATGTCATAAAAAGTTATACACTTTTTTCGACAATTAAAAGAGTCTTTACTAGTATGTAGAATAATTGTCGATAAATATTTTAGCAACACTGCATATAATGACTAATATGGAAATGCCGATAAAAGATTTTACAACAATTTTTATTGCCACTAAAAGACATATTAAATGTAACTAAAAGTCTATTTTGTTATAGTGAAGAGAGCATAATCAAAAACATTAAAATCATTGTATGAAAAAAAATTGTATTTTTTAATTTGTGTATAACAATCTTAAATGACAAAAAAAATAGTATTAATTAAATTCAATTTATATAGCCGTATATGACTCATATATATATATATAGTTTATAATTACAGCGGTGTAACTTTTACCAAGTATTACACTACTCAATAATTTTATATTAAATGTGAATTTTGTAAATTCAACCGTTAGATTGAAAGTTTATATCACTTTATATGTGTATATCAAATTTTATTAAAATTGAACAACAACTTGAAGGTAATCAAAGTGTTCATATTTTAGTGTATTTTGAAATGAATATATTACGTTAATTTTGTTTTATAAAAATGAAGTATCAAATTATCTTAAATTAATATAAAATTTTGTATATATGATTTAAGGGATATGAACTTTCAATCTAACGGTTGGATTTACAAAATTTACAATTAATATAAAATTATTAAGCAGTATAATACTTAGTAAAAGTTACACCAGTGTAATTATAACCCCCTCATATATATATATATATATTAATATAGCAACACATCACCGGTAAAAATTGTCGCTACCACTTGACATGTTTCAGAAATTGTGTAACAAATATACACTCTAAATTTTTTTTAGAAATACACAAAAAATGTTGAACAAATAATTTGTATCGTTAAATTTGTCTTGGCCAATGAAATGTGATAGCTCAACTTTAATATAAACATTCTCTGAAAGATAATACAAATCAAATATTTTGCCATCATTCTAAATGTTCAAAATTTGTTATATAGTTAAATAATTTGAACAATGAATTGAAGAATGATCTATGAATTTTACCATCTTACAGTGGACCAAAACACACAAGTGAAGAGTTGGCTTTGGGTTCCACAACTTTTTCTCGCTCAAATTTTTACAAACTTTAAATGCAAAACTTTTATGATATGAAAAATTCATCAAGTTATAGATATGAAAAAAAATAATTATAAGAATGAGTATTGACCCAAGGGCCATTTCAATATCTTATTCGACTCCTAGATTTGTAAATATATGTCCCTAATCACTTTTACTTTTTGTTAAAATGTGAAAAGGGGTGGCGTAAGTCTATGCTCTATAGACAACAACATGCAAGTAAAGTCAACAAAATGAAGAAACATGAAGTAATCAGATCCTTCTACTTTTTTTATTCTAGACAAATACGTCACATTAAAACTATTACATGTTCACAAATGACATAGGAACAAAACTACTTGATTTAGATAATTATAAAATGCCTTATCACCACGTCAAACAGAAACGAAAAAGAGAGGGAAAAAGGCATTTCCATCGACAATGAAATTGGAATAGCGTATCAACACAACAACGTAATTTAGAAGTAACACCTCAGAACCATAAATTATGTAGAAAAAGTCTTACTTGTTCTTGGAATGTGTAAAAATACTTTTTTCTGCTAAGTAGATTGCTATCATGCAAATATCTTTGCTCTTTTTTCTTTAAGAATTATTTAAGGGTGTTATCGCGAAATCATCTCGTAAATTTGTACGAAAGGACTATTAACTTTCAAAGAATAGTTTCTGTACTGTTTTCCCACCGTAAGATCTGTTTGGAATTTGTTTTTTTTGGAAGAAAGTTATGCCATTTTGTTCATAATAAGACATTTAATCTAAGTGAGAATCAAATCATAATAAACATGATGAATAGCATGAAAAAGACATGCTCTAACTAAAATATTAATAACCTGAATAGATTGACTTCTAATTAAACTTACCACATAATTTTGAGAATTAGAGAGAATATGAGAGTTTGAAATTTGTTTTATCATCTATCATGTGTGTTTCTTTCATCGGACTTTCATGAAATTTTTGCTATACTAAATAATTGTGATATCTTATAAAAAGGATAAAAAAATGTTCTATTTGGTACTTGTTAGTATTTGACTCTTGATATTGTTACAATATGTATTTATATACCCCTTCTCCCCTTCTTTGTAAAATACACAACTATTCAATACACATATTTTCATTTCTCACTTTCTCTCTTCACATGGTATCAAAGCTTAATCCTCCACCCGCTCCGGGACCGCTTCTCCGACCTCAGGCGCGACATCCAGCGCGACCTCCGCCGGTGCCACTCGCGGATCTGGATCCCCTCTTCCGCCTCGCTGCCTGGTCGCCGCCGCTGCTGCCACCGTCATCATTGTCGTCGCACACTCCGCGGTAGGGTTTGCCGCCTTCACCGCTGCGTTCGCCGCGCGCGCCTCCTCTACGCGCCGCTCTCCGACGTCCTCGCCGCCCTCCCTCGCCTCTTCCTGCACCAGATCGAGCCGCACCTACGCGGCTGCCTCCGCTCTGCCGCCGCCGCCGCCTCCGTGCTGACCTCCCCGCCGCCCTCAGAGAGTGCGTGGATCCGGCCAAGTTCGTCAACTCGGAGGTCTTCCCCGTCGACAAGAGACGTTCTCGAGTCCCTTGTTCCGATCTTTGTCGATCCCGTCGTCGGAAAATCCAGGCTCGCCGTCACGCCGCTGCCGCCCCTCGCTCTCCGGCTCCGACCAGGAGTCGCTGCCCAAGCACCAGGCGCCGCCGCCGCCAACCGGGAAGGTCTCCACCGCCGCTGCCAGATCTGAGTTTTCTTCTCCCCTTTGCGTGTACCAGAGCTACCTGGTGAACCAGGTTAAAAAAAAAAAAAAAAAAAAAAAAAATCTATTTTGCTTGTATTTTTTTTTTTTTTACTTATCATGTCAAATTTGGATGTTATTCACCCTATTCCTATTATACTTGATGGTACCAATTATAATCATTGGGTTGAAGCTATGCGTGGTTTTCTCAAGGGACGTCGACTTTGGCGTTATGTGACTGGTGACATTACTTGTCCTACCTCTGAATTAGTTGATCAGTTAGATGTTGATGCTCGTGCCAAATACATTGATCAGTTAGAAGAATGGGATAGTAAAAATCATCAGATTATTACTTGGTTTCGCAATACCTCTGTTGCTGGGATTCATTTGCAATTTGGGAAATTTGACACTGCCAAAGAAGTATGGGATCACTTGGCACATCGTTATACTAGTCGTGGTCTTGCTCGCAGGTACCAACTTGAGAAAGATCTTCATGCTCTGAAGCAAGCCCAGGGTCAGGGTGTTTTTGATTTTTTGGCTAAAATGGAAGCTATATGGGATCAATTAGCGATATGCGAACCCAATTTACACAACAAACTATCTCTTTAATTGCTAAAGGAAGGCCACCAGCATATTTTAGTGCATCATATGTTAACTGTTCATAATCATTCAAAATATCATCGGATTTGAAAGCTTTTCTGCAAAATAATTGAAGAGCTTTATTTGTATTTAGTAATTGAACATTGTGAACTTTATCCACTCCATAATTTCTCAAGATATGACTATTTCTAGAGATTATGAGGATCCTACTCCCTGCACCTAGATATTTAGGATGCAAAGCCAATTTCTCTAATTGTTCAACTTGATCAACATTATCAAGAAAAATAAGTGACTTTAAGTGACATAACCTAGTTCTCACCAACATGGTTCCTTGGAAAATATTGTTTATCTCTATATTTCCTTGGTTTAGAACTTGACAAAGAAGTTTTTTTTGCACACCCGTCGGTCCAAAATTCTCATAAATCTTGTTTATATCATCTATGAAACAACAAGCATCAAATTGGGGAGAAATTTTATTAAGCAAAGCAGTTGCGAGTGTTGTCTTTCCTATACCACCCATCCCACAAATTCCTATAACTCGAGCAACTTCATCTACATCAAGATCTAGAAGTTCTTCCAATTGTTTCACACGAAAATCCATATCAACTAAATCATCTTCAAAACTCAAAATTTGATTATGACCCAATAAATTTATTACCTCCTCAACAATTTTTTCAATTTCTTCATGTTGTGGCCTGAAAACAAAAGTAGAGCAAAAACACCAAAGTTTTTCTAAGGGCTAAGACTTTCAAAAATAAAATTGTATATATAATACAAAAGTATGGCCAAATACTTACTTATTTTGTACATCCCACCCACAACGATTTGTAATTGTTTTTAGAGCTTCCCTCCATATTTGTACCATTTCCAAGTCATCTTTAAACCTTTCTTCATGTTTAGCAAAAGCTTCTCCGAACTTTCCACTTTGTTTTCGAACTTCGGAAGGAGTGACATCATAGAAAACAGGGAGAACACTTCGAGCGGTTTCTTGAACCCAATCAACGATCTTTTGGAGCTCTTTCATGCACCATGTGGATGATGCATAGTCCTTTGAGAAGACAACAATGAAAACACGTGATCCTTCGATTGCCTGTAAGAGCTCAGGTTCCAAGAGTTCCCCTACCATCAAGGAACTTTCCAATCTTTATCGTTTAAACTTGGAGCACTGCAAACAGTTGAAATATTTGCCCGAACTTCCAAAATTAAAAGAAACAAAATCTGGAGATTTTTTTGGGGAATTATATATTTTTAGTTGCCACAATTTGAATGAAATGGAACATTGTCATCGTATTGTTTTTTGTTGGATGACACAAATCTTTAAGGTAAATACTCCATCCTTCCTTTCTTTATCTTTTTTCCATGTCTACACTAATTATACATATTTACAATTTTGTTTGGTATTAGGCTATATTACAATCCTCTCTTTCCATGGGTAAGATTGAGATTATCATTCCTGGAACTCAAATTCCAAGGTGGTTCAGTGAACAAAATGTGGGTAGTTCAATAAGCATGGACCTATCTCATGTTATGGAAGACCCAAATTGGATAGCTGTTGCCTTTTGTGCTATGCTAGTGGCACATCATGATGATTCTACTAATTTGAATGATAGATGGCAACCTGACGATTCTGTAACTATTGGATATAGTTTTCAAAATAATCAGGTTTTTCAGAAATCATTTTGGGTAGTTCCAACAGCTTTAAACATTGGTCTGATCACGGGTGAAATAGATCACTTGTACATATTGTTTCTTTCTCGGGAAAGACTCATTGATTGTCGAAGTCCATATGAAGATGAAATTAGTGATCTTCATCAAATGGGATTCACAATGGCCATATTTAATCAGCCTAAAGATTTGCATTTTGAGGTGAAAAATTGCGGGTATCGTTGCGTATTTAAGGAGGATCTTGAACAATTAAACCTAAACATGATGTTTAGTGGAAATTCTTCATCTAGTAAATGCAAGCTTTTAACAAGTGATTAGCTACACATCATTCATTGAACTTGTTCATGGAAAACGTAGAAACCTCTTTTCAACTACAATTCCATCCAAGAAATACTAATCCATTAGAGGTAAGATTTGATACAGTAAAGTACAAAGATTATTATAAACTTTATAGTATATATATATATATATATATATATATATATTATGCACCTTTCTAGTAATTAATTAAGGATTTTACCCATCGACTTGATACCTTACTGAAATTGGTTACTTTTAAAATAATATGGCTTAACCTGACTCTCATACGATATCAACTAAAAACTTATAAGAGACTCAACTTTTCACTTCAAGAGACAATAATACTCAAAAAGGACTTTTCAACAATTTGGCTCTCAGAGCACCATAACACATATACACATACTAAAATATTTCAATTTTTAAAACAACACTTTTCCTCCAGTCTTATGTTCAACGGGTTGTTTCAAATTAGTAAAAAGGCCTATTTGGGTTTTTCCAGAACGGGCCGTTCCCAAAGGGAAACGGGCTGTTCCGAAATTCTAAAAATACCTAGAAAGTTAAGTTGGAAACGGGTCGTTCTACTTATGGTCAATCAGTGTTAACACGAACTCCAGAACGGGCCGTTCTGATTTTAGAACAGGTCGTTCTGATTTTAGAACAGGCCGTTCTGCTTTCTGAAAACGGGCCATTCTGATTTTGGAACGGGCCGTTCCAGTTGAAAATTTTACGTATATTCGAAGGGTCCGGAACAGGCCGTTCTAGGAACCCCTGGATGCCTATAAATAAGAGGCAGGGAGGTGAAAAAATTATACTGACTGAGAAGGTAAAAATCTTAGAGAGAGAAGAGAGAGAGAGAGAGAGAGAGAGAGAGAGAGAGAAAGGGATAGAAAAAGAGGGAAAGAAAGAGGGAAGCCAGAGGAGGAGGTCCTGTCCAAGTTTTAGCTCCTGCTTATCCAGGTAAGGGGGGAGTGAGAAACCTTGCTCGGGGGTGTGGGAATAATTTTTGGATAGTTTGATTGTCGGATTGGCCCCCAATCCCTCGCTTGTTGTTCTGTTTTATTTTCTGTTTGCTCTACTTTGTTCCTTGTTGGAAGTAATAAATGATTATGTAATTAATGTTAAAAATAAATAAGTTTTAATATGAATACGAATGCTCTTTGTGGATTCCTATGCGGACCTTATGAGGAATAATTATGACATGGTTATTTCAATACACATATTTTCATTTCTCTCTTTCTCTCTTCACAGATATCATGAAAATTTAAAAACACTTAATGCAGTGTAAAATGTTATTGATTAGTTCAACCATTAAGAGTGTTTGAGAAGGTTGTAAAATTTAGATTATTTTAATAATTAATTATATGAATAATTATAATTGATTATAATGAAAATGAAGTTTTGTTTGCATAAGTTGGTTTAAAAATAATTTTAAAATATTTAATTTGTTTTGGATAAGGTTAAAAAGTCAATTTTATGTATTAAATCAATTTAAAGGAAAAAAGTTATGACAGAAAATCATAAGTTTTAAATTTTCAGCTTCATAAAAGAAGCTTAATTTTATTTTTCTTTTATGTTCCTTTCATTTTCAAAACTTTTGGAAAAAAAATAAAATGAAGATGATACATATTTTTTTTTTTATAGGAAGAATGACATTTTACTGTCAAAACGACTTTTTTTTTATAAAAAAATTATGAGGGGTATTTTTCTTTCAAAATGGATGGTTTATTTTAAAAGTTTTCCAAAATAGGATTAGTTGGGTATGTGAAATACAACTTTTAAAATGCAAGTCGTGTTTCACAATTTATTTTAAAAAAAACTAAAAGTAGAAGTTGTGTTTTCAATCCTGACTTTTTTTCCCAAATAAATAAAAAAAAATCTTTCAAAATTTTAGAAATGGAAAAAATGAAGAGAAGAAAAAAAAATAAAAAGGATCTTTATTACTCAAAAAGAAGATAGTGTGTTTATGTTCATAATTTACATGCAATGTGAGATTTAGGGTCTGTTTGTTCATTTTTTTTTAAAAGTGATTTTTTAACATAAACAAACAGTTTTCTATTTTGTCTAAACTGTTTTTTACAAATAAATTATTTTACATTTAAAAAAAAAAGCAATTTCCTAAAAAATTGCTTTTCTAAAATTCAGTTTTTTTAGAACTATTTTTGTTTTTTTTTTAATTTGAAGCAAACTTACCCTTAATTGACAGTGGTATGAGTCTTTTGTTAACATACTAAAAAACGGGATATCCTATTTGCTTTAGGCTTAGGGACTATTCATGTCATGCTTAACACCAAGAATTCTAAGACATTATTCTTTTATTACACCCACATTTTCGACAAATATTTATTTGAACATTTAAGTATCTTTATGAATATCCTTACCTAAATATATCATACAGGTGAATTGAATCATAAACTTTGAACTATAACGAGTGGAATATAAATAAATCATTAATCCATCCTTACACGATTCATTAAAAATATATTGAAAAACTCAAACTTATCCAAGTTTTCATTGTATATTCGGATAAAATACAAAACAAAGATATTTTTGACACATTAAACATGTTCACGATAAAATAGAATTCCCAGAAATATAATTTTGAAGAAACATTATTTCTAAAATTAAAAATAAATTTGGATTTAAATATGTTTTTAGTCCTTCAAATTTAAGACAAATTTGTTTTTGGTCCCTTAAATTTGAAATTATTATTTTTAGTCCCTGTAATTTTTAAAAATCTTGTTTTAGTCTCTTAAATCACCAATAATATATTTGAAAGTGACTAATTAAGATAGTTATGTAATATCAATTAAATTTAGTGTAATATTTTCACCAATAAAAATATAAATAAATAAATTTTATACAATAATATTTGATAAATTTCTTAATAAAAATTAAATATAAAAATTAAAATAAAATTTTTTAAAATTATAAAAACTAAAAATAATAATTTTAAATTTAAAGAATAAAAATAGAATTATTCTAAATTTAAAGAACTAAAAATATATTTAAGTAATAGATTTGATATGGCAAATGGTCCCTTGTTAAGGTGTTGGTGTTGGGCCTTATATGCATAAGGTTATGGCAGAGAATATGAATTTTTGTTATGAGCACACACAGCACATCCCAGACAGGTTGTCACTCTAAGTGGTTATTGTCCATTTTCTTAAATGAAGCAACCCATATTATAATAATATGACAACTTACGAGTATGACATGACACAGTTGTGACGGACCAAACCAATTATGCAGATGTAACTTTTAAGGATGCTTGGTGTTGGGTTGAATGGATCAGCAACAAATGTTTGGGTTTCACTCACGTGTGGAAAATGATGTAAAATAATGTAGTTTTATTTTTCTATTAATATTTTATGTTTTGTAATATTGTTTTTTTAGTTTGGAGCAGTTTATAATTTTTAATAAATACCATATTTTGTTTCATGATTGTGGACTAGTAATTGTATTGCCTTTGATATTAATGGTACTGATTTTTCTTAAATTACAGTGAATGTCTGTACTTATAAAAGATGTGTATTGTAAAAGTTAAAGGTACTGATTTTTCTTAAATTTAAAATGAGTAAAGGAAGACTTTTATTAAAATATTAAGTGTATAATTGTTTAGACTATGTGAGTAATATTTCAAACAAATTTATAAATTAGTGAAATAAAACTATTGAATAAAATTTATAAGTTAATTAAATAACTTATAAGCTACCTGAAATAATGGGTGAAACATAACCCAAAGTTATATTTAGTGATGGATAAATTTGTAATATTCCTCTGGTAATTATTCTTTTAATAATTAGTGATCCTAATTTCTAAGTTTTTCAGTTTTTTTTTAATCTTATTTTCTTTTAAAATAGGATTACATCTTCCTAAAATATAAAATTTCCATTAATGAGAATTAAATTACTTTATAATATATACAATACATGTGTCTTATATAATATTTTTAATCATTATATTTAATCGATAATTATGATTCCTCACTTTATTTTATTTTTATTTTAGTGGAAAACTTTTATAAATTTTGATAATTATTTCAATAAAAAAATTAGTTAATTGTTGAGATTAAAACACATATAACCTTATTTTAATAAATAAATTTATTATCATAATTTTTTTCCGCACAATATAAACACATTGTAACACTTCTCATATATGACATTTCATCAGTTTCATTTCACAGTGTCATTTTCACACGATGATATTTCACACAATTCTTCGTTGGTAATAATTCTTCACTAGTTAGAACTCTCCGTGGTAATCTTTTTTGAGATGATTGATTACCTTTGGGATTAATGACTATTTTCGTAAATTAATACAAGATTTTTTAATGTATTTTGTTCTCAGATACACACTTTTTTAAGGAAATTTCCGAGAAGACCACCCAATCCTAAATTGTCTCAAGTCAAACATGTTTAACCGTAGCTTTCTTAAGTAATGAGTTACTAAAAGACATATGCATCTTTTTTATATAGATAGTATAAATTAATTCATGTAAATCATTTTCAATTATTTAATTTCACACATTTACAACTCAGTGTATTTGTGATGTTACACACTTGGGGAGTATTTAGCACATGAATAACAAAAAGAGTATTTAGGACATAAATTTTTTTTACTTTAACAAGACTCTGAAATTAAGAATGTTATTTTTTTTATTTTAGCATTTAAAAAAAAATTCATATAGGAGCCATTGTTTTTCAAGAACTTCTTTTTACATATTATTCTCACAAAAATTATCCCCATGAAAAATGTGAGAATCTAATATTATTGAGTTAATGTAGTAAAAAAATCATTCTTAAATAACATATATAAATATCTATAAAAAAAAATTTATGATCAACTAAATAAATTTTAATTATTTCTAAAAAATGTTTCTTGAAAATTATAATTCTAAAATTTTATGATTCTCAAAAATTATTTTTTTTTGTGAATTTTTTCCCTCTATCAAACACCCTTTAGGTGATAAAAAAAATGCAATAACATTATATATATATATATATATATATATATATATTTATTAAATAACTTAATGACTTTGGTGGTTGTTGTAACATCCCAAAATTTATACAATGGTTAATTATGATATTTATGAAAATTATTTTCCTATAATTATTAATTAATAAAAAGGGTTCCTTTTA